AAAGGGGAAAGGGGAAGGAATCGACACTGAGAGACGATACTGTCGATGATCCTAGGAGTATGGAGGCCAGAGAAGCCACCTGCAGTCTCTCATAAGGCGCCACGTTACGGGACGTTTGCAAGCACCGTCTTAAGTAAGGCTCACAACAAACCCAAGAAGCGGAACTCGTAACATTCCCTCCAAAATCCACGAGCACTCAGTAGCTTGCTGGAGATCAACCAGCAGGTACAGAAACCCAGGACTTGAACCCAGGACTTTCTGTCCTCAGAGCCCATGTGTTTCTCTAGTGGCCACTGCCCCCACACAGTACAGAGACGAACAGAGACCACCCGTCCCCCTGAGTCGTGAATGCAAAGGTGAGGATCAGGGAGAAAGGCCAGTATTTACTGACGTACTATCTAGACATCATCTCGGGACCCAATGCAGCTGTTATTTGGAGAGAAAGGGTGTTTAGTGATTGACAGCTCATGATAAACCAAGCTCATCTCGCCTGGCTATCATCCTCTCTACTGGGTGAGCTGCTCACCCAGCGTCCCCAGCCTTCTGGGGACATTTCCTCTTCTCCTACCCACTTGGCATTGCTGACTTTCTCACCTTGGCAACGTAACAGGCTGGACAGGATCCTACCCGAATCGGGACATTCTCCACCTGACCAGGCCCCCGTACCTGGCAGCCACCGGCTGGCCTGCCCTGCCGACGCTCCCGTGCGTGTTTGCTTACACCAGAGCGAGGAATGGCTCCGGCTGACATCCTGAGCCTTTCAGAAAAGAGCAAGCGAACTGAACGCAAGCCATGTCTCCACCACCACCACCAACTCGAAGGGATTAAATAAATTCTTTCGGCTTGCTGGAATCTTACGTTAAATATTCTTGGAAATAAGTAGGCCACAGGCTAATGCGAAGAGATCCTTCATAATAAAGACATTCGGTTTGTAATGTAACTGTTGTGATAGGATTTGACCTAAATAGGAAAAGAAACCAAACATGGCTTTCTCAAGCTGAGCTGTCTGAGGATGGATGGTTGCTGAATCTCCAGGGGGAAAAAAAAAACACAACAGCTCTCTAATAAAAATTTAAAGACACCCCACATACACACCCACACCCACAATCCCTCCACTAAGAAGTTCTTCACTGTGAAGAAGAGAGAGAGAAACACTCCTAGGATGTAACATGAACTCCAGAGTCGGGGGAGATAGGGGCTGACCATTCCCCCACCTTACCGGCTGAGGGTTGGGGATGCATGGCTTCTGAGGCCCCGTGTTCTTTGTCTAGAAAATGGGTACGAGGAGGCCTCACTGAAGCTGCTAATGCAGCATGGAGGCTCGAGCCGAGCCCACATTTGCAGAAGTTCCACTCCCTGACACACAGTAAGCTCCCAATCAATGGCAGCCTCCCCCCTGGAGGCCACTGTGTCGGATGAAATGTTCAGAACATCTTCGTTTTGTGCTGTTTAGGTCTGGTAGAAAGATCCTCGTAAGGGGAAATCAGAGGACTCAGGCCCAGCCTTGCTTTTACCACTCGGGGAAGAGCCTCTCTGTGGGGGATATAAGAAGGTCCCTGCTTCCCACAGGGCGGTTAGGAGCCCTGGGCAGGCTCGTGTAAGACATGAGGTTTGAGGTGGGGGCTCCCCTACAGAAATGAGCTGGAAGCTCCCTCAGTGGCCATTGTTGAGGTGTTCAGCGACACGAACAGCATTTACAGAGGGCCTGCAAGGAACCTACGGCAAGAGGGACCATCGGGGGAGGACAGGGCGCCTAGCAGGGTTCATTCTTCCACAGTCACGGAGGAAAGACACGGGAGATTGACAGACAGAGACCGAGTGACAGAGGGGTGGACCGCTGGCAGAACAGAAATCCAGCATCCCCAGAATAGAGAGGGTCGGGGAAAGGCCGGCAGGGACGCCCCGTCCCTCCTCTGTGGTGGCCTTGTTACCCCCACCAGTCACGGACGTGATTACTGGCGGCATGAGCAGCTGTCTGTTCCTGAACTTCATTCGCCAGGCACTTGGCAAAGTGCTGGCTGGGCATCTGGCATCCAGTCCTTCCCAACCCCAGGCCTAGAACAGACACGGGCAATGCACACGCGCTCCACCTCCCGGGACAGCCATTGCCACGGGTTATCTGGGAAGTCTTTATGATCTCTGAGGATTCTCAGTCCACACACAAAGGCCAAGGGTCTCTGAGTCTGTCAAAAAGGACTTTCTGGAAGTACATTCATCGGTATTGGATTTTTATTTTTGAACACATCTGGTTCAATGATAAAGAAAAACGGATCCGTCAGAAGGACACCGTCACACATAAACCTGGAAGGAGGGTCCGGAGAAGCCATCCATCCGCAGCCTCCTCCAGAGCAAGCCACTTGGCTCTGTCATCTTTGGTTCCTTTTCTGGCATGGGGAAGAATTACACTGACTGATGGTAGGGGTAGCTTGTGGGCGGACAGCTCAACCAGTCAGAATAGAATATTCTGCAGAGGGGAGGAGAAAGGATATAGGGGCCAGGAGGAGGGAAGGAGGGAGGGGGAGAGGGAAAAGAAGAAGGGGGAGAAAGACAGAGAGAGAAAGAGAGAGAGAGAGAGAGAGAGCTCACCAGCCACCAAGCCAGGCCTCAGCAGTTAATGCTGGAGTAAGTGATCATCCCGTGATTTCTCAGCTGGGCTGCAGACTTGTAAATGCATTTAGGAGACAGAAATAGAAGGTCCTAGGAAGCGGCAGCGAAACCTGGCCTGTTTGCCAGCAGAAAAATGTCCCAAAGCCGCCAGGAAATTCACTCAGTCAGGATGGGGGGGGGGGGGAGAGGTCATGCTTCATCAATGGGAAGAGCTAATAAACAAAACCCGGAGGGGTGGGCAGAGGGTGGGCCTCGTGCCTCGGACTCTGCCCTGGGGACCTGGGGCCCCTCTGCCCGGGGATGGACTGTGAGGACCCGTGCTTCTGGGCCTTCACATCCCCCTCCCCCAGTACCACGGCAGGTGCCTTAAAAAGAGCCGCAGATGTGACCAGGGGAACAAGGGCCAAGGACACAGGCAGGCGCCCCGGTAACCATCGGGCCGGAGGAAACCAGACCCTCTGCTCCCAGGCCTGGCCAACCTCACAGTCGCCAGCAGAGCCTAAATCACCCCGAAAGAAGAGGGGGGGGGTACGGAGGGAAGGAGATCTTCTGGAGATCTCAAGGACAAACTAAAGACACAACCCCTGAGACACTCATGGCCCATGATGCACCTCTCTTGTGGACTTCAGGAACAGGGTGCGCCCTGCAGCCTCACCCCTCTCCTGAGAGACACGGGGGGGGGGGGGGGGAGACGAGGTCCCACAGGGCCCTGAGGCAGAAGCGCCGGCTTCCCTCACACACTGATTTCCCTACCCCACCAACGGGCGCTCTGGTCACCCTAGTGGCCCACAGAGCCCGGTGCTCAGCCCGGCCCGGGGAAGGGCTTTGTTCTTAGCTGCCGGCCTTTAACATATTTCTGGCTCGTCACTGGATTCCCCAGATACTCTTGGAATAAAAAGAAAAAAAAAACCAGCAAATCTGGCATCCCTGACCCACCCCCCTCCCCAGAACTCCTCGCCGGCTGCCCCTTTGGAGGGGACACGCGGTCCCCGGCCGTCCCCTGTCCCCACAGGGCCTGCTGTGGGCGTGTGGCTCCATGACCTAAGGAGGAGTCACTAGGAAGAGAGAGGTTTCTCAGATGTCAAAAGCCCTTTTCCCTTGCGGAATGGGGGGGTATGGCGTTTACAATGGAACTCAAATCCCCAATAAAATAAACACCTGGAACATCTGGTCCCAGCTGCGGCCAAGAAGGAGTCGCAGGAGGAGACTGTCACCGCCGAGGCTAAAGCAGGACATGGGGCAAGCGTGGATTCAGACGGGGGGGGGGGGAGGGGGGGGGCAGGGTCACGTGGGGGGGGGGAAGCAGGGGCCATGGAGCGTACTGGTTCCGGGAAGTGGGGGAAGAAGAAAGTGAGGCGGACACCTAAACCAATATTTATGTCCTGTGTGTGCTTGGGGAAAGGCACAGCGGCTCCAGGGTCTGGCTAGGACCCCCAGAAGAGAAACCACCACCACCACCCCCTCCCCAACCTCCAGGCCCTGTTAGAGGCCAGCCTCCACACTTCGCTTCCCAGCAGCTCCCCTCTGAAGTTCTGCCTGTCCATAAGCAGCTGCTAGCCCGCCTGGCTGTCCTTCCCACGTCCAATGACAACCCCGCGCGGAACTCTCCAATGGTGAAAACCAAGTCCAGGCCCCACAGGTATGTCCCCCCCTCCCTGGCCCCGTTTCCCCTCACCCCAGTTGGGTGCTGTAGAGTCTCTGTTCTTTGGGAACACAACCATTGGACATTCAAGAGGCCGGGCCGGGTGGGGGGGTGGGGAGAGGGGAAACTGAGCCACACCAAAGGGATGTGGGGGTCGGGCACTCTCCCATGCCTCACTACCGGCCTCCTCTCCCGCCCGCCTGCTCTCCAGTCCTCCCAGCCAACACCGGGGTCTACGGACACGCAACGAGGCGATCCCCGCAAGGTCTAGCCGATCCCCAGGGGAATCACCCCACCCAGACGCAGCAAGGAGGGGAGAGGAGGAGGGAGGCACGGAGAACCACATAACCACCCCTGCGTTCCAAAGAAAGCTCTGGGGCCTGAGCCCTCTCTCCAGAGAACCTAGCATCGGTCTTGCCTGCCTTCCTCCTCCAATCCCGGCTTCAACACACAGGCCTACAAGGCCTACTGGTGTGTGAAGGGCCGGGCTTACATAACATCCAAGGTGAACTCCCCTTTACTGCACATGACTTCAGGAAAAGCATCCTAGCTTAGGGGATGAAGAAATGATCTCCTCTCAGCCCTGGTCCTAGAGACTTTCCCTTCTGATGAGAGATGGAGGGAGTAGATCGAAAGCCTCATTTTGAAGTTGCCCGGGGGCGCTGGGTCTGGAAGAAGGCCTCGGTGCGGCGTGGGCAGCTTCCCGGCCAGGCCCGTGCCCGCCCGCCCCCCACAGCGCAGCTCCACTCACATGTAGTGCAAGTGCGGGTTCTTGGCGAAGGCTCTGGGCTGGATGCTCCTGAGGCCCGAGTTCTTGATGGTCCTGGACAGGGGGAAGAGAAGGTCAGGTGAGCTCACAGAAGGGAGCCTGCGGGAGGTCTGGCCTCTGCCCGTGCCCTACACCCCAGCCGCCATCCCTCTCACCCCTCCTGGTCAGCAGGTGAGGACAGGGCCTCCTTCTCCTACAGAGACAGCAGGGCTGCACAGCACCCTGTGCCTTCCCGGCCTCCCTCCCGGGGTGGGGGGGGGGACATGCCCACAGCCAGGGGTGCCGGGGCAGCAGGTAGCAGGGAAACTAGCACTGGGGAGGGGAATGTGGTTTCAGCACAAGACCCAGGACGGGCCTGGCGTAGGGCTGGCTGGAAACCCGGCTTCGGGGGTGTGACGTGCAATCCGAGGGCCTCTCTTGGCCCCCTCAGATAGCCCCACCCTCCCCAAAGAGGCCTCAAGAGGGGAGGGGGGGGGGAGCGCAGACAGCAAGCTCGCTGTGTCTGCCAGGAAGCTCTGGAGGAGGCCCCGCCCGGCCCCGCCCCGCCCCGCCAGGCCCCGCCCCGCCCCGCCAGGCCCCGCCCCGCCAGGCCCCGCCCCGCCCCGCCAGGCCCCGCCCCACCAGGCCCCGCCCCGCCCCGCCCAGCCCCGCCAGGCCCCGCCCCGCCCCGCCAGGCCCCGCCCCGCCCCGCCCGGCCCCGCCCCGCCAGGCCCCGCCCCGCCAGGCCCCGCCCCCGCCCCGCCAGGCCCCGCCCGGCCCCGCCAGGCCCCGCCCCGCCCCGCCCCGCCAGGCCCCGCCCCGCCCCGCCAGGCCCCGCCCCGCCCCGCCAGGCCCCGCCCCGCCCCGCCAGGCCCCGCCCCCCCACTCCGGCTCACTCACAGCTTCTGGAGTCCCGTGTACAGCTCCATGTCCACCGCGTTGAGTGTGTGCAGCCCCCGCCAGTTCTCTATGTGTCTGTGGGAGGAGAGGCAAGGGTCAGGTCTCCAGGAGCCACGGCAACCCTCTACCCTATTCCTGAACCCAAACCCCGGGGCCGGCCTCCCGCCAGCTCGGCCAATACCTCGGAGCCTCAGTTTCCCTCCCCTGCATGGTGCGTCTCCTTGGGAGAATGGGGAGAATGAAGTAGGCTCATGGGATCCAGTCACCCGGCTCATGGGTACAGCATTTAGTGTCTCCCCCCACCCCAACCCAGCTCCTGAGAGACTCCTTTCTCTAAAGACTTAAAACCCAGGCCCCCTGCTCGGCGTTCCTAACACTTTTCCACCTGCGCCATTTCCACTTAGCACTTCCTGAGGGCAAGCTCTTCTTCTCTTTAAATATTAATAGTTTTGGGAGCGGAGGGTGTGGCTTGTTGTGTGGGCGTGGCTTGACACGTGGGCCTGTTTTGCCTGTGGGCGTGGCCTTGGGCAGGCAAAGCCTAAAAGAAGGGATCAGAGACTCACATCTCCACTCAGGGGACCAGGGATTCATCCATCCCGGAGCTCAAGAAAACCCATGGCTTCGGCGGGCGAGGGAGGCACCCGGTGCCTGGAAGAGGGTGTGGGGTGCACGGTTTTCATCCGTGAGCCCCAGGCTATGAAGATCTCTGTTGAGCTCTCCCCCGAGAGACCTGCATTTAAGGAGGTTTGTGCCTAGCAAGCACGCCACATTCATTAAGTAATAAAATTCATCTTCTCCGATTTAGTAATCAGAGCTATAAATCACTGTTAACCAGAGCTTTATCATCGACAGACACAAACCAGGACCAACTGGCCTGGTGCAGCAACTCCGGCCCAACGCAGAGAAACGGAGAGCACTGTTAGCGTGAGAATCGCCCCAGGTACCGTCTTGTTAGCTGTTTGCTTGCGACTGACAAAACTGACTGCCTTTGGGTGTCCCGAGGTGGAAAGCTATTATCCCACTGCTGGCTTCCAGGAACCGCCCCTGCTCTATCCCCGTGGGAAAGGAGACCTTCCACGCTCCCCTGACAACCCACGATCACCAGAGGATCTCGGCCCCACCCTGCTGCCCTGCCCAGATCCAGGGGTCTCGCCGTGGCCTGTGCCCACCAGGTCTCAGGACGATGTCAGGGGGCAGGGCAGAGGGGTAGCAGCTCAACCAGCTGCTGTTCCGGACCAGAAGAGTGACCGCCGCCTGCCCCAGACAGCTCCTCCCGACCCTACCCCACCACGCCCTGCCATCTGCGGCCACCCAGGCCTTGGGAAGCGTCACGGAGCCACGCGGTGACATTGTTTGGTAGCACGCTCTCCCGGAGCCCCAGCCGGGCAGCCAGAGACGCTGGCATCTGCCAGGGCCGTGGACCAGGTGGCCACATTAGTTTCCAGTCCAACTCCCAAGTCTTATCCCTGGGAGCTCCGCGGCGGCGGGGCAGTTTGTTTGGTCTGGTCCCCACCAAGCCAGCCACCCTGGCCACACTTCAAATGTCAAAGCAGCCCAGGAGGGCGGGGGTAGGACAACCTGTGCCAGCTAAGTCCCTGTGCCTTGCTGGGGCCTGGCCATGCGGGTTACCGGCTAGATCACGGTGCTTATACCATGTTGCATTCATGGAGGTGTGGGGAGGGGGAGGAGGCGGCGGCAGCCTGGGCGGGTCTCCTCCCACCGAGCAGCCGTCAATCAAATTGTTTACCCAGATGAAATCACTTTTCCCAGCCCACATTAGCATTCCCTTCACGGGGCTTTGATGACCGCGGAGCTGTCCATCATTACTGCACCCGAGAACTTCCCGTGTCCTTATCTCTCGCGTTCCCCACCCGCCCCCACTTCCACACCAACCCTCCCCAACTTGAGACCCACATTGAGATGCAGCAGAGAAGTAAATGAACCCTGGAGGCCCAGTCCCCTGCGAGATAAAAATAACGGTTTCCACGAGGCTGGGGGCAGGGAGCAAGTCTTGCTAAATCAGGAAACGGCATTCCCCCCCCTCCCATAGGCAAGGGACATCAGGGTGGCTTGAAGCCCAAGTGCTACAACAGTAGTTGGCAAACTACACCCCAAGGACCAAAACCCAGCCTGCTGCCTGTTCATGATCGCCCCCCTGAGCTGAGCCATTTGCATACTCTCTCTATCTATATATATATATGCAAAGAAGAACCGTAGTTTGTGGTCTGTTAAAAGTAGATGGGATTCAATTTTCCATGTCCAGCCCTGCTCGCTCACCCCCATCCATCCGTGGCTAGCTTTCAAGTTGCAAGGAAGTTGCTACACAAACGATTTGGTCCACAAAGCCTGAAATATTTGCTCTCCGGCTCTCCACAGATAAAAAAGCTCCCAACCCTGCCCATGGGCCCCTCGGCCCTTCCCTTCCCCATCTCACCACAACACCTATCCAGGCTACTTCTCCAGCCCATGCCTCTGTTTTCTCAGCTGCTAATTAGGAGTCATAAAATGCCTGTCTCCTAAGAATGGCCGGCGGCCCAGACACTAGTGGCTCACACCTATCATCCTAGCTACTCAGGAGACTGAGATCTGGTTCGAAGCCAGCCTAGGCAGAAAAGTCTACGGGAAAGCATGTCCAATTAACCAACCAAAGGCCCCGAGTTCAAGCCCCAGTTCAGCACAAACACCAAAAGAATGGTGTGAGGATTGAGAAAGGAATGTTCAAGCAGCCTCACTGCAGCAGGCCGGCGGAAGGCCCGGGGTTCGATTCCCGGTACCACCAATTGGCACAACGCAGGCTTCTGGAAGCACTAGCCATTGTGGAGTTGTTCTTTTCCCCGAACCCTCACAGGGTCTGAGGTGTCTTTTCTTGGATCTCTTCCCGAAAATGTTGAGGGTTTAGGGGTCATTCTTCATTTTAAAACAATAAACAGACAAACAAGCCCATGGGGCAGAGGGGAGGGAAGGCAGGAAAACTGCCATCCGTGACCTCCGGGGAAACCACTGGACCATGCACAGGATGCGGATGCATGTGGCTGGGGGGGGGGGGGGAGGGTTAAGAACGGGTTCGGAGCCGGAGTACAGCAGGACGATGGGGGGGGAGGGCCACAGCCCTTGGCATTCACAGACAACCTCAGTGTCTGCCAAGTCTGGCTGTGACTCACCGCCGGGTACCAGCCCGGCGAGCCGGGTGATGGTAACTGCTGGCAGCCATTAGGAGGCCACAAGTTGAAAGGGAAGAGGCTGGCTCCACAAAGCATCATAAATAAACCCGAGGCGGTGAGCCATCGGTTCGGTCCGGTCTCGTGAAGGGTAAATGGTGGGTGCTCTGCATAATTCCATGCTATGGCGTTGCCCCTTTGCGGGGGGTTTTCTTCCAGGTTGCTTGGTGGTGGTTGTTTGGGGAGGGGGGGGGTGTTGTTATGCAGTATTTATTCTGTCCTTGGAAAAACACTAAGTATGAATTGTTAAAAGAAGGCCTGATGTTGAGCCCTGGGCAGGCAAAGCACTGAGCCCTGTTCTCCCCTCTTCTCCGTCCACTCCCCCTGCTTTAGGGTACTGAGATAGCAGGCCCCCCAGGAGATACATGGCCCATGGCTTGGTTGTCACCACCGAGGAAGGAGAATGACGCCGGCCTGTCGTGGGCGGAGGCCGGGGATGCTGCCGATCGCGGCCACGCAGGGCACAGCCCCACAGCTCGTCAGCCCCTGGCGCCCGCTGCCCTGATTGCTTCACGGCCAATGCTAGGAGACGGCAGACCCAAATGACAGAAGCTTGCCCAGAGCCCCTCCGAGGGCAGAGCCCCTGAGGAGAAATAAATACCACGGCCCGGCTCCCGCGAACCTGCTCGAGTTCAAGGGCTCTGCATGAGGAGAGTTGAGAGACCCTGTGGCCATCTCCACCCATGGCCCGAGCCAGGCTCGCAGTCAGGGAATGACCGCACACAGCCTGTGCAGGCCTGTTAGATAAACCCTCAGACAGGACAGGTGTCCACCCACGGCCATGCACGCAGGGCCACAGGCTCCCGCTTCACGCCCAGCGCTGGAACGCGGCCTGGCATTCACTCAGTATCCACAGAGAATACAAAATCCTCTTGTGCTGGAGTAAGTCAGATCCTGCTTGCGTAGTCTCCTCTTCCTCTTTCTGCTTGGCTTGGGTGGCACGAAAGTGGACTTGCAGGTCTCTGACTGGACAGTTCCCGTTTAATTAAAACGGGGCCACACGATACACTCAAGGGCCAGTTCCACCTCTCTCACCATCGTTAATACTCAATGCTGGTCATTGCCTCTGCATAGAGAATTCTAGAATGTAGAACCAGTTCCAGTGCCATTAAAGCCTGGAGAACTAACGTAGGAGGGAGCCCACAAGGTCACCTTCACCCGGAAGGCCTTCCTCGTCCACTGGTGGGGACTGGAGCTTGGCAGCTGGGCCTTCAGGACAGCCTTCCGTCTCTCCTGTAGACGAGGAGACGCGGACGCACCCAGGTGCCCGGACCTCTTCCACGCCTCCCACTCCCCCGGTCTCACACACCACACTCCTTACTCTCCGTGCCCCAGTCCTCCAGACCGGAAAATCCAAATGCAAAATGCTTCGCCTTCCCAACTTTCTTCACCAGCTGTTTCCTTCATGCCTCTTTGCCTTCTTCAGCCTGCAGACGGGACACGATCTGAATTTTCTTGATAACTCTGCATTTTCTAGATCCTTCTCTCATGTCCGACCGGGGGGTTGGTAACTGGGGGGGGGGTCACCATCTCTTGCCCCAAGGGCCCGTCCCTCCTTCCGAGGTTGATGCATTTCATGTCTCCTTTGGTGGCTCTTGGCGTGCAGTTGCTCAAAGCCGGCACTGGAGAATGTCTGCGCGCTGGGAGTGCCCGAGGCCCAGCAGTTCACGCCTCTCGGGTCCTCAGTTTCCCTGGGGGAAATCTGGGGGCGGTTGAGGTTTACAGCAGGCAATGCCGGTGCGTTCCATTCAGCAGGCATGCACCGCGTCTGGGCGATGAACAGCTGGTTCCGTGACTATTGTTGGAACTGCGTGGCAAGGAAGAGTAAATAAAACCTTAAAAAGAAAAAGAAGAAGA